CTATGAAGAAAGGAAAGGTAATGCAAAGATAAGGACATGCGTCGCTCACTCATAGATATATATGCTGCTAGACTTCTACTGCTTGAACATATATGCAACACGCCTTTCTTGGAAGCAAAATGCTCAATAACGCGCTGATTAAAGTCATGCATCCCAGAAATAACGTCTCTGTGAATGGATAAAACAGCCAAGGAATTTAATCTATCTTGCTTCATTGTGTTTCTGAGATACGTTTTAATACGCTTCAGCGTGCTGAATGTTCGCTCTGCGTCGGCGGAAGAAATAGGCGTCGTCAAAATGATGTCCAGAAATTTTGCAGACGCCGCAAAGGTAGTTACTAGAGTGTTATCTATGAGGAACTCATAGAGCGCGCAAGTTGATGTGATGTTCAAAAAAGTTTGATTGGTGTATATACATCGCAATTCATTTTCCAATTTACCCACGTTTATCATGGGGTAAAATTTGGAGACGGTAGCCAACAAATGGATGGGAAATTGACGTGCAAATTTTGAAAAATTTTTGGGGTTCATCAAAGAGAACGCGGCAAGGTGTTCAGTGCGCAGACGATCGCCTATTTGATTCACCAGAATGTCACAGCATTCTTTTGCAGACAAAATCAAACGCTGCGTTGTTTGCCCGCGGCGTAAAGAAGCCCTCCATGCGTCGTCGTATTTTATTGTTTCCCATATACGAGATACAGCATCGCAGAAGTCTGAAATACACGACTGCACAGACGCTCCATCCATTAGCCTTGACTGCAATGCGCCGTATAATACATCCACGTGATAGAATATTGGGAGAAAAAAGCGAGAAAAAATGAAAACTCACCATCTTCTAGCAGACGCTTTAGACCTGCCGCCTCCCTCACAGAGCGTTCGTCCCAAACCGGAGAGCTCTGAATGCCATTGAAACACTCAATGAGCTCAGACCTAATTTCGGACACGCCCTGCACCACGCGTGATTGGAAGTTCCAACGTGTTGGTGCACAAGCTGGGAGACGGCGGCTACATATCTGGCGAAGGAGGTCAGAGCGCTTCGGCGAAACGGAAAAAAATGAAGAAAACCCCGAAACATTTGCAAAAAATATACGGACGAGAGGGGTATCAAGACACATATTTTTAATAACGAGGTTAAATTGGTGTGCACAACAATGTAAAAAATGCGCATGAGGAAAATCTTTTTTTATATAAACTTGAACACCATGTTTCGACCCACTCATGACTGCCGCGCCGTCATAAGTTTGAGCTATCAATTTTGACTTCGCGTTGTAAGGCTGTAACACTTCTTTCAGTACAGCCGATACCCCGCAAGCCGTGCAATCAACGATTGGTACAAAGCTGTGAAATCTCCCGGTAGGTTTACCATCTTTCACAAACCGAAGAATCACAGCCAGTGGGGAAACGCACGTGATGTCAGTTGTCTCGTCAGACTAAATCGAAAGGAACTGGCAATTCTCAATTTCCAGAGCCAAATGTTGAAAATAAATTTTATACATGGAGTCGAGCAAATCATTTTGGATATCCTTAGATGTCCCTTTTGAAACAGTTGCGGCATCAAGATGATCTCTCAATACTGTATCTAGGGATGCGGTGTATTCCACCATATTCAAAAATACCCCTCTATTAGAAGAGCCAGCCCGTTCATCGTGCCCACGGAGGGACAGCTCGTTGAACAGAACAGTTGGATGAAGGACGCGCGGTTTCTATTCGTCGGCACAACCAAAACGTCGGGAAAAACCGCCATGTTCTCGGTCGATTGATAGATGTTTTGAAGTTCATTGGTTGTCACGAGCTGTCCGTCCGTGGGCACGATGAACGGGCTGGCTCTTCTAATAGAGGGGTATTTTTGGATATGGTGGAATACACCGCATCCCTAGATACAGTATTGAGAGATCATCTTGATGCCGCAACTGTTTCGAAATGGACATCTAATGATATCCATGATTTGCTCGACTCAATGTATAACATTTATTTACAACATTTGGCTCTGGAAATTGAGGATTGCCAGTTCCTTTCGATTCAGACTGACGAGACAACTGACATCACGTGCGTTTCCCAACTGGCTGTGATTTTTCGGTTTGTGAAAGATGGTAAACTTACCGAGAGATTTCACAGCTTTGTACCAATCGTTGATCGCACGGCTTGCAAATATCGGCTGTACTGAAAGAAGTGTTACAGCCTTACAACGCGAAGTCAAAATTGATAGCTCAAACTTATGACGGCGCGGCAGTCATGAGTGGGTCGAAACATGGTGTTCAAGTTCATATAAAATAAGATTTTCCTCATGCGCATTTTTTACATTGTTATGCACACCAATTTAACCTCGTTATTGAAAATATGTGTCTTGATCCCCCTTTCGTCCGTATATTTTTTGCAAATGTTTCGGGGTTTTCTTCATTTTTTTCCGTTTCGCCGAAGCGCTCTGACCTCCTTCGCCAGATATGTAGCCGCCGTCTCCCAGCTTGTGCACCAACACGTTGGAACTTCCAATCACGCGTGGTGCAGGGCGTGTCCGAAATTAGGTCTGAGCTCATTGAGTGTTTCAATGGCATTCAGATCTCTCCGGTTTGGGACGAACGCTCTGTGAGGGAGGCGGCAGGTCTAAAGCGTCTGCTAGAAGATGGTGAGTTTTCATTTTTTCTCGCTTTTTTCTCCACAATATTCTATCACGTGGATGTATTATACGGCGCATTGCGGTCAAGGCTAATGAATGGAGCGTCTTTGCAGTCGTGTATTTCAGACTTCTGCGATGCTGTATCTCGTATTCGGGAAACAATAAAATACGACGACACATGGAGTGCTTCTTTACGCCGCGGGCAAACAACGCAGCGTTTAATTTTGTCTGCGAAGGAATGCTGTGACATTCTGGTGAATCAAATAGGCGATCGTCTGCGCACTGAACACCTTGCCGCGTTCTCTTTGATGAACCCCAAAAATTTTTCAAAATTTGCACGTCAATTTCCCATCCATTTGTTGGCTACTGTCTCCAAATTTTACCCCATGATAAACGTGGGTAAATTGGAAAATGAATTGCGATGTATATACACCAATCAAACTTTTTTGAACATCACATCAACTTGCGCGCTCTATGAGTTCCTCATAGATAACACTTTAGTAACTACCTTTGCGGCGTCTGCAAAATTTCTGGACATCATTTTGACGACGCCTATTTCTTCCGCCGACGCAGAGCGAACATTCAGCACGCTGAAGCGTATTAAAACGTATCTCAGAAACACAATGAAGCAAGATAGATTAAATTCCTTGGCTGTTTTATCCATTCACAGAGACGTTATTTCTGGGATGCATGACTTTAATCAGCGCGTTATTGAGCATTTTGCTTCCAAGAAACCGCGGCGTGTTGCATATATGTTCAAGCAGTAGAAGTCTAGCAGCATATATATCTATGAGTGACCGACGCATGTCCTTATCTTTGCATTACCTTTCCTTTCTTCATAGTAATGTTTTAAACCTTATTTTAGGTTTTGTCTGCTTTCCCGAAGTTTCTGTTAATATGTCATTGTATTTATCTGGGTAAATATTGCCTTTCCTTTTGAAAAAGGTTTCAAAATAAACTATGACTATATTTATTAATCCCTTGACTTGGACCGGTTTTAAAGACACTTTCTTATCGTTAAAAATTGTCGCTTTTGCCGATTGGTTGTTACCGATGGAATAGTTTTTATACTCATAAAATGATGGGAGAACGTTCAGCGCTCATCCTGTCCCCGTAGATGGGGGTGACTTGGTCCCGCAGTAGCTTGCCCCGGTTGTCAAAATGACCACGCGCCGCCACTGACTTATTGTATCAAACACTCTCAAATTGTGCCCTGTAGGGCATGCCCCACTGAACCTCGGTCCATTGTTCCCATAAGAAACAAATATTTTCAGACCATCCCATGGCGAAATTCGGAAGGCACATCATCTCGCCAACCTTATGAATACTTTACAGTGTTCTAAAGCTGAAAAATATCAGACGGTGGTTTGTCATGTTGGACAGGCTAAAGTAGAAAAAAGAAAAAACTGGAACGGTGAAATTTTAGTGTCAACCTCCCGAAACCAATTTCACCTCATAGCTTGCGTCGCTCTACCCGTCCGTTGTCCGTTCGCGGGGACATTGTAACTCACCGAATGGCGGATTGAAACAGCGGACAGGATTGCGGATAAAGTATCAGTGTGAGAGATGATTTTCCACTGTGCCCCATGTTCTAACGTGCCCCACCTTTCCTACAAGACTTTTACTTTTTGAAGCACAAATTACTTTGTTTGTATTAGGTTAGTAAGAATTCCCATACAATGGCTTTTAATACGGATCTAAGACACGCTCTCACTTTCGCGAAAGTAATTTACGTGGGAACTATGCTGGAATATGTCACACCCAGGAGGGACTGGGTGTAGCCTCAAAAGTCTAAATGTTTAACTCAATACATTATCATACTTAGTACCAACGATTCAATGAATATGTCATTTCTTTTAGAATGAGAGTATGAATTGTTACCATTGACTGCTGAATCGATACGATTGCTCACTATTTTTGAATAAATCAAAAATTTGGCCACTCGTGGAAAAATGTTTAACGAATCTCAGTGATTTACTTTCGTCTTGCGCTCCAATACGTGACTCTTAGTATATCGATCTGAAATTCATACAAAGGATTCAAGCTAAATTCTGCATGGGCGCCCCAATTATTTACTCATCGATAGCAAACAATATCCTGCCATAAGTTTCCTATCGTGGCCATGTAATAAACACTTTCCCAATAATATTAAATAATTATTGGCCATTGTCTAATCATAGCGAAAAGACACAGATTCACCTGTATTATCATATGATAAGTTATCTCAATCGAATGTCGAAACTATTTCTTGCTCATTTTTTTAAAAACAGAAGTAGAAACGACAAAGAGTAAGTATATCACATGGACGCTAAATTCATTTCGAGTTCATGAGGCAAGTTCGTAATATTTTTATTTTTGAAATTTCCAAAATAACGTAATTCAACAAAGTAGATTTACAAAGACATAATAATTAGACGAATGACTGTTCAGAATGTTTATATTGTTAATCTAACTCTCAATAAATTTTCAACAACAATTCAATGTAATTGAAGTGGATAATTGAAATGGATTTCAAATTAAAATCAAAGATTTATATTTTCACTGATGACAGATCCAGAGAAATAAAATACAACTAGGCAGAAGTTTCATTAGATCAGGATCTCACAAAGAACCCCATGACTTATCATTCTAGGAAGGGCATTCTCCATCCCTTGATATATCAACTTTAAATCAGCACTGAGAGAAAGATAAACATTTGTGTGATCTTTAAAATCGATTCCAGTTAATTGAATACCTTGATCCCATTTAATGAATGAATCAGCAGGTGTGACATCACGGGTCTGAGAACAAAATATAAATACGATGACATGAAGATTATCATTGGGTTATGCTTGATCAACTGTAACTCTCACTCGTCTCTCATATGCTGTGAAGCAAATTGTGATTGGCTTCTCCGAAACTATACATTCATTATAAAACTAAACTATAAATGGGAAATATCTCTGTATGGGCGTTTTAAAAGCGCGGCGATTACCAAAGTGTCCCGCCTTTTAATAGATGCAACCCGCGGTATTGAACATTAAGGACCAGACATTTAGCATATTCCTAATTCAACTGGCTTACATAATTTCATCACAATCTTCTGGACAGATGAGTCATTTCAACTGACTAATGTATACAAAGACATGTCTATTTTGCCCTTTGCTAAATTTCAAGTTTCTGCCGTTGGATTGGATCTGGGCATGCTCATACTTTACCCGTCTAATAACAGATTCCTATATTTTACGAGTATAAATAGAACAGACATAGGACACAAACCATTGGATCAAAGCGGATTCCAGTCCATATAGTGATCCACTCATTTTCTTTTAGCATATTCACACTCAAATATTTCATAATCGCATTGTGAGATTCCTCATCTCGAATCAAACCAACATTTGCGTTACGTTCCTTGCAAATATCAACTGCTTTGTCGTAGTTGACTCTTTGTATCACGAAAATATAACAGATATTTCCGATCTTCAATTTGCAATTTTCTGAAATGTAAGAAATGACGTTTAAGCATTTGAGGTCTCGTGTTGACTTTTATTATCACTATCTGGAGGTTTGAAAGTAAGAAACTCCAAAATCGGGGAATTGAAAATTCCGACAGTTTAGACATGCCAAACCAGTGGAAACATTCCAAATTTCGACACCATATGTCTACACCAAAATGAGATCACTTCATTTTGTCATTGACCATATAAGTTTACCTGGGGAAGGAGTCGGTTTAAATGTTGTTTTGGTTGTTGTCGTCGGTCTCTTTCGGTTTCCAGATTGAACCTTTTGAGGCTTTTCCAATGCAGTAAGTTTTTGTTCGATCTGCTCCATTGCTGAATAGACAAATATACATAAGAGTCTATTTCCAGCATTACCAAAAAAAATGTTGTCAATGGCAGAATGGCCAACTTGGTTGCAACTGAACTTGTAGCCAACTTGACGAAAATGGCATAAGATTTTAGATTCTATCTATGATAACTTTCATATACAGTACCTAACATGACCCGGATCAACTTATCATATAACGCTAGCTTTATATTTAAACTCATTTTTCGTCGAAAGATTCAAAGCTTCCCTGTTACAGCAGGTTTTCGTTCAATTCGGGATATAACCAGATCAATATAACAATATTCAGATTAATATAGGACATATTTTGTAATTTCAACGGTTATACGACGCCAAGGAATGCTTCAAAAATACAAAGTGACAGCTGTTACCAGGGATGGCCAATACCGAATAGTTCACTATTTCGAATACATTCAAAATTATTATTTTCGAATATGAAATTTTGAATACTTCGAAAATAAAATCCAGTAATAGAATCTAAGTATATGAAGGAATTTTTCATACAATAAACAATGGAATAACTTCTATCCACAACCTGGCTATATTACCAGGCATTTCATGTTTCCAGATTATTGCGATATATATTTTATATAAGTTAATTAACAGAATTAAAATATACGACAAGGCATAATAGTGGTATCGGTGATGGATTTGAATGCTTGCGCAGCACAAAATCATCCTAGTAAAACGCCCATACTTTTAAATACCAACCATTATCCAAATTATTTGTCAAAAAGCGGGAAAAAGTATGAGTTCTTTTTCAGACTTGTGACAATTTTTTCGTGAGTACAAAAATACGAATCAAAAAGTAATTATATTCGGGAACTTTACCACACATTCAATGTCCACAGATCATTGTTTTTTTTGTATATACGAAAATAGGAATCAAAAATTAATATCAATCGCGAGTTTGCCTCACAATTTATGTCCACAGAATGCCGTGATATTGTGCCCGAATATAATTAATTTTTGATACTTATTTTCGTACTCACGAAAAAATTGTCACAAGTCGGAAAAATAATTTATACTTTATTACACATTCAAGTCCACAAATCGCCGTTGTATTTTTGAGTTCTAATAGTTTTAATATTTTGTAAATACGAATCCGAAATTAATTATAATTGAGCAGTTTACCACACATTTCATGCCCACAAATACCCGTGGTATTTGGTATTAATACTTTCATTATCGATACTTTTGACCATCATTATCAAAATTATTTGCCAGAAAGCGGGTGAAAGTATTTTTCTAATAAATCAACTTGTTTCCCAACTTGTGACAATTTATTGGATATCGTAACAATTACGGCTATGAATACCGTATTTCCCGGCTAATAAGTCTACATGGCAAATAGGACGATGTATATTTTTAGCACTCAAAAAAGGGGGTTTTCCATATAGGCCTCCAAGAAGACGGGTAGAAAAATTGTTCCCTGTTGTTCAGTTATGCTAATATGCGCTAATAATAATGTTTAGAACCAGATCACGTTTGTTTAGTAGAATCATACTCACAGAATTAACTATTTTTAACAATAAAGCGGTAATTTTAAGTTAAAAATCACAATCATTTTGAACAATCTATAATTTTATAGGGTCAGAACAGAACCAGATCGTGTTTGTTTGGTAGAACCATACTCACGGAATTAACTATTCTCAACAATGAAGCGGTAAATTTAAATTATAAAGTGGCAATCATTTTGGACAACCTATCAACCCGAATGTTGAAATAATTTTGGAATGTGATAAGTACCACACGGTACGTCCACGGGTTATTTCACAGCTGTGTTTCATGTCCCTGTCGTTTTCTGCTGAATCGGCAAAACCAAAGGGTCATAAATCACTTACTTTATCTCGGTGGCCGTGTTTTCTCTTTTAAGTAACGATAACCGGCCTACGATTAAATATCATGATTGGCAGACCCATAAGAACCAAATATAAGGTTAACACAAATTATGCCTGAGAAGACTAATGCGAAAAATAAGCAGGCCACATAGAAATAAAATAAACATACTTTCTCAATAAGGCGCCCCTCCCCCCAAAAAATCAAGCCAGAATTGGGTCAAGAAAATCGACTTATTAGCCGGGAAATACGGTGATTGTCGATTTTTGACTAATGGAAATGATTTTGTGAATTAAAAGACGAATGTCAGCAATGTCCATCAACGCAAACGTGCAAATGTGTCGCAACACTATGCGACGTACATTCGCGCTGAATATAAACAATCAAAATGCCGAATCTATTTCATCGTCATTACAATACGTGAGAAAGCGTAAAAAGTCGTTTGAAGATTCCGGTAAAACGAAACACCGTGTTTACCGCGAAAAGTGACTACTATTCGTAATTATTCGGAAATGAGCCGAAAAGGTATTCGAATACTTTGATAATCGAATAATTTCGAATATTCGATTCGTTTTGGACAACCCTGGCTGTTACCTTTCTTGATCTCATTATTCGTTTTCTGTTGTTTATTCAATGTTTTCTCCAACTTATCATTCTTGTCTTGAACTTCAATCAAATCTATAAAAACATCATGATGCTGTTTTGAAAGTTGACAATGCTGCTTAATGATAAATGAATGATAATGGTGGATCGTGGAGTTGTTAGAGATGCAATATCGATTCATGGATATAAAATTTATGGGACAGCCTGCCTGGTCTATCACAGCTTGTTACTTATCGATTTTAATCGGTAAGTATGTTGATAAGGTATTTGTAAGGTATTTGTCTGTCTGTCTGTCTGTCTGTCTGTCTGTCAGATGCACACGTTAGATATCTTATGAAAGCGAGATTGAATCTGCTCCAGATTTTGCATGTCCGTTTATCAAATCTCGGAACAAAAGTCTATTGATTTTGGGCCAATTAAGTCGTATAATTAGCGAGTTATTAATTAATTAGTGATGGGACACAAGGTGTCACTATGGAGTAAGAGCGCTGTTTTGGGGGATCTCTTAACTTTCGATCGATAAGTCTTCGGTCTCTGACCGATATTCTCGTTTTGGTATTAACTATTAATTACTACAATAAAACTATCCAACTGAAAAGTGTCTGATTGTACCAAAAAAATTCAGTTATTTGAAACGCTTTGTACAAAAGTTGTGCTGTCTCTAGAATATGTACCGGAGGAACTTGTTTCTTCATTTCGGGGAACAAATTCTATACAACACACTGACATATTTAAAATAACAAAAGTGATAGCCAACTGGCAATATCAACAACCTTTAACTACTGAACCTTTTGTTTCAATTGATCCAGTAGTTAAATAAAAATCGTTTTATTTTTTTCACAACAATAACAAGAAAAAATTAACATAGCAACAAAACGATTCACAGGTCCAATTTGTGCCCATTAAGCCACACTGAAGCTGCTTTTTGGAAAGAATCAATTCGGCACGACGTAGATCACAGTATTTGAAGTCAAATATCAATCCAAGTAACATACACTAACCTTTCTTCAATTCATTGATCACAAAGTTTTGCTCTGTGTTTTCCTTCAGTAGAGTTTCAATTTGACGAGATTGCTGAAGAGTACTGTTACGGAAATCCGTGATTTCGTTTGATAGTTCCGCAATTTTATTACGATTTTTTCGGATTTCTGGCAGAAAATAATATAGTTTCAGTTTTCATCATTACCTTTTCACGAAATAACATTTTGATAGTCATTAAGTATCGTCGTATTTATCCAACAATTGATATTAGTTCTGCTTGAATCCGTGTACTAAATTTTCATTTATAAGAACGCTTGTGGCCGTATAGTTTGCGTATCAGATATTTCGGCAGTGTTGGGAACAAAATCAAAAATGAATTGTTTCGTAAAGTATACTGACCAGAATTTGCTCTTCCAAAGTCATCTTTTAATTCCTCTAATTCTGATTTGATATTTCTTATACCTGAGCAGAAAAATACATACGAGTTGAATAGAAATCATTTTATTAAACACTCTAGGCAAAATCACGGCGACCGCTGAAATGCTAGTTGCTATAGAAACGCTATGTGATAACGTCGGTGCATTACGGGCACCAAGTCAGTAGTAAAGGAAATTCCTTTTCTGAGTAAAGTTACGGCGACCACTGAATGTCAGGAGACTGTATGGAATTATGATATTTAAAGACCATCCGATGCTATGCTTTGGGTTAGCATAGATATAGTAATATATGGCGAGCATGAGGAGTAGGAGGGAAGCGAGCCTAATCAATTTGTTTCGCCGCCAACACCAACTCCGGTAACCCATGTTATGTTCAACAGTTGACACTTACCTAAAATATTTCGAGATACGACAGGAAGCAAGTTGCCAGTATTTTTTGATTTCGTGTTATTCATAGATTTGCACGTAATCGGAAACTCCTTATAATGCAGATGTTCATCAATGTTGAAGCCTGGTCTGTCCCATCCTACAGCAACCGGATCACACTGTGCAATCTGACAACCAGGCTTGGGAGAGCAGTGAAAAACTGTTTCATCTTGACACCAGGATGAAGCGATGACGTAGATGAAGATAAAAACGATTGAGATTTTCATCTCGAGATTTTAGGGTAGTTACGTTATAACTGAATTAACAAAAGTTGTTCGCGTTTAATTCAAGGTCAAATATACCAACGGACAGAAGTTGTTTGTCATGATAACAAAATATATTAGAAATGCTGAAGATCTTGTTCTAACTAGGATCTTGCTACTGTATTATATGACGTCACCCACTACAATTAGGTTGTCTTAAAATTCATGGGTAGTAGATGAGTTGATTAGATTGGTTTTTCGTCTAATTACTTATTAATCTCTTCCAGTGTGCGTAAGCGCAACATTAGAAACTAATATTTGAATCAACTGCCTAAATTTATGCGTCCACAGTGAGTCATGGCTTCCGGGGACGGACTAAAAGTAGGCACTTGCAAATTAGGCACTTTTTTAGGCACTTAGTAAAAAGGGCGTAATACCTTTTAAAACCATCATTAATTAGTTAAAAATGGTCAAATTAAATGTTGAAAACGCAAATTGCAACGGGCAAACTCAATAACAATATTTAAAACGTAGTATTAAAGGCAGTCGCACGCGCTTGGTCACCACATATGCTAGGCACATATTTAGGCACTTCGAAAAATAAAGAAAATGGCAATTATCACTAGTAAAAGACAGAGACATAAACATATTACCCACACTGATTAGCCTGGGTAAATATTCAATAGATGCACTCGAGTCTAGTACTGGAATTTAGAAATAATAAATTGTTACCGGTAGGCACTTATTTAGGCACTTCGGAAAAAAGGTGAAATGGACGTAGTAACTCCTAAAAAGGTAATGAATTAGTTCAAAATATTTAAATTAAATGTTGAACGCGAAAATTGCAACAGTTAAATCCAATAACGATTTTTAAAACGTAGTATTAAAGGGAGACGCACGCGCTCTGTCACCACGTATGCTAGGCACATATTTGGGCACTTCGAAAAATAAAGAAAATGGCAATTATCACTAATAAAAGACAGAGAAATAAAAATATTACCCACACTGATTAGCCTGGGTAAATATCCAATAGATGCACTTGAGTCTAGTACTGGAATTTAGAAATAATAAATTGTTACCAGTAGGCACTTTTTTAGGCACTTATTTAGGCACATCGAAAAAAAGGTTAAATGGGCGTAATAACTTTTAAAATGATAATTATTTAGTTGAAAATTGTCAAATTAAATATTGAACACGCAAATTGCAATGGGTGAACCGAATAACAATATTTAAAACGTAGTAGTAAAAGGAATCACACGCGCTCGGTCACCACATATGCTAGGCACATATTTAGGCACTTCGAAAAAAGAAGAAAATCGGAATTATCACCAATAGAAGACAGAGAAATAAAAATAATACCCACACTGATTAGCCTGGGCAAATATCCAATAGATGCACTTGAGTCTAGTACTGGAATTTAGAAATAATAATTTGGTACTGGTAGGCACTTCGAAAAAAAGGTGAAATGGACGTAGTAACTCCTAGAAAGATAATGAATTAATTCAAAATATTTAAATTAAATGTTGAACGCGAAAATTGCAACAGTTAAACCCAATAATGATTTTTAAAACTTAGTACTAAAGGGAGACGCACGCGCTCTGTCACCACATATGCTAGGCACATATTTAGGCACATCGAAAAAAAAAGAAAATGGGAATAATCACCAATAAAAAAATAAAATAAAAATATTAGTCAAAATGATTAGCCTGGCACTGGGTGAATATCCAATAGATGCACTTGAGTCTAGTAGTGGTATTTGAGAATAATAAATTGTTACCGGTAGACACCTTTTCCGTGTTTCCCCGAAATTAATACAGTGTCTTATTTCAAATTTCTTCCTAAAATTACCACTAGGGCTTATTTTCGGGGGATGTCTTATATTTTAATTTATCAAAAACAAAATTACAAAGTAAAGAATTAAGATATTTTCAAATATGCAAAATATAAAATCCGATATCATTGGGTTTACTTGTTGCAATTTGCATATTAATTTTTTAATTTCAATATTTTAAACTAATTCATTATTCTTTTAAAAGTTATTACGCCCATTTTACGCATTTTTAGAAGTGTCAAAATAAGTGACTAAAAAGTGCCTACCGGTAACAATTAATTATTCTCAGATATCACTACTAGACTCAAGTGCATTCATCGGATATTCAAATAGGCTAATTATTTGGACTAATATTTTTATTTTCTGTATTTTTATTCATGATAATTACCATTTTCTCTATATTTCGAAGTGTCTAAATATGTGCCTAGCATATGTGGTGACAGAGCGCGTGCGTCTCCCTTTAATACTATGTTTTAAAAATCGTTATTGGGTTTACCCGTTGCAATTTCCACGTTCAAATATTTTGAACTAATTCATTATCTTTTTAGGAGTTACTACATCCATTTCACCTTTTTTTCGAAGTGCCCACCGGTAACAATTTATTATTTCTAAATTCCAGTACTAGACTCAAGTGCATCTATTGGATATTTGCCCAGGCTAATCAGTGTGGGTAAAATTTTTAATACTCTGTCTTTTATTGGTGATAATTCCGATTTTCTTCTTTTTCCAAAGTGCCTAAATATGTGCCTAGCATATGTGGTGACCGAGCGCGTGTGACTCTTTTTAATACTACGTTTTAAATATTGTTATTCGGTTCACCCATTGCAATTTGCGTGCTATACATTTAATTTGACAATTTTTAACTAATTAATTATCATTTTAAAAGTTATTATGCCCATTTCACCTTTTTTTTCGATGTGCCTAAAAAGTGCCTACCGGTAACAATTTATTATTTCTAAATTCCAGTACTAGACTTAAGTGCATCTATTAGATATTTACCCAGGCTAATCAGTGTGGGTAATATTTTTATTTCCCTGTCTTTTATTAGTGATAATTGACATTTTCTTTATTTTTCGAAGTGCCTAAATATGTGCCTAGCATATGTGGTGACAGAGCGCGTGCGTCTCCCTTTAGTACTATGTTTTAAAAATGTGCCTAGCATATATCATTACAGTATTGGGTTTAACTGTTGCAATTTTCGCGTTCAGCATTTAATTTAAATATTTTGAACTAATTCATTATCTTTCTAGGAGTTACTACGTCCATTTCACCTTTTTTTCGATGTGCCTAAAAAAGTGCCTATCGCTAACAATTTATTATTTCTAAATTCCAGTACTAGACTCAAGTGCATCTCTTAGATATTTACTCAGGCTAATCAGTGTGGGTAATATGTTTATTTCTCTGTCTTTTATTAGTGAATATGCCATTTTATTTATTTTTCGAAGTGCCTAAATATGTGCTTAGCATATGTGGTGACCAAGCGCGTGCGACTGCCTTTAAAACTGCGTTTTAAATATTGCTATTGAGTTTGCCCGTTGCAATTTGCGTTTTCAACATTTAATTTGACCATTTTTAACTAATTAATTATGTTTTTAAAAGGTATTACGCCCTTTTTACTTTTTTTCCAAAGTGCCTAATTTGCAAGTGCCTACTTTTAGTCCGTCCCTGGCTTCCGCGCTAATTCGAGTTGTAATTATTAAATTTACTTAATATAAATTATATTCATATTATTCAACGTGTGATTACTATATATCTAAACTCTACGATTTTGTATTTAGACAATCCATTTCGCACAGGCCGTCCTGGTATAGTTATGGACCGGCCCTGACCATTTATAGACCAGGCCATGTCAGCAATGATAAATTAAAACAGGCGTCTATCTCTACCGTACACTGCGACGCCGATCGTTTCGTTTGACTTCATCGCCTGAGGCAAACGCAACATAAGACCAGAAAGAGTAATTTTACTAATTCTTACCTGACGCTATTTTTAAAGTCTTGGTCTGAATTTTCAACCAAGTTTGACTATTCTACTCGTCTCACATTCTTGCTATATCATATATATATATATTTATAGTATATATAGAGAGATACTTTGGTCTTTAATTCTTCGAAAGCAGCCAAAACGACTTCAGCAGCAACAATTCTACTATTAGAAATGTCTTACCGTATTAAATCACGCCTAGAAATTATCAAGTTCAAACCCTTTCTTTGAAACTTAACTAACTATCTTATCAGCTACTCGCCTCTATGCAATCGATATCAAACTATATTGATATGTTTTCTTCGCCTCGATTTTTATGCCTAAAAATTTACCGCATTCGGATATATATAGAAGCATACCCGCAGAGTTCGTGACGTAGTTTCAGATCTTAATCGGATTAGCGATGTTGCGTCCAGTGGTGATATGTGGATAAACAATGACATCGCGAATGTAATTTTACTTTATTTTGCAATATTCTATTTTTAAAAAAATCGCAATGAATTTATAATATGATATTAAAATTCAACAGCAAAGTTATTAAAATTATTTGTAAGTTAATGAGAGAATAGCGAATACTGCCTAGGCAGACATTAAAATTTCACGAAAATTCCAATTTCAAAATTTTTTGTTCAACACAAATTCGAATTCATATTGGAGTCGCAAACAAAATGTTGGTCTTATCGGATAGGACTCTTAATTTGCTCGGTGGGTGGAAAATTTCTTTGACTACACGTGGTTTAGTGTGTGCAATTTTACTACAATAGAATAGTTTGAAGCGTGTTTTTTTCATCGCATTTCAGTGACGTATTTTCTAAAGTTCAGTAGGGAATGCTAGTTTGAAAAGTGCTTCGTATTTTTAATATTAAAAACAATTGAACACGCAGGTCTGTCAAAAACTCGTTTTCATTTACAATTCACCTCTCAAGTCCTAGTGATTGTATTGCAAAAGCAGGTATGGCCGGATACGTATAAACAAGAAATAAATGGAATAGCGAGATATACGGATGAGTTCTATTGGTGTCTCTCGAAATTATATATTAGCATCGACGAATTATCGCACTATGCCGAGATTAAAATAAACAAGAAATGTAACTCATGACGAGGAATATTCATGAATTTATAATAAATATATTTTGTCGTGCACGTAATCTATTTCTAACTAGGCTTGCACGTAATTTACGGATTTACGGAATTACGTAATTATTTGGAGTTACGGAAGGGAAGTTACGAATTACGTAAAGTCGTAATTATTGCATTGAAACGAGCTTTCTTCAAAGCAGTCAATTTCGTCGATTGCGAAAATGAAAGCTCAACAAGTAGAAGAAGTTAGAGTTCCGGTATTCGCAGCCGTTTTTCTCTCTCTTGTTACGTAGGTGAAGGAAGGCATGACGCGTTGCCGTTTACTAACCTATTATCAACTTATCTGGCGTGGCCAATGTAAATTATTAACGTAGTTAATGGGGGAAGAACTGGTAGGGCCGTTTGACGCCAACACACCTGGTTTTAACTTCTCCCGCAACTTAACCGTAGATAAGGGATAGAATTGCGTTGAGACCGATTGACGCCAACACATCTGGTTTCAACTTCTCTCGCGTCTTATCTAGCATGGCCATGGCCAATGTACATAATAACCGTAGATAGGGGGAAGAATTGTGTTAAGACAGATGGAAGCTAACACGCCCGGTTTCAACTTCTTCGGGTGAAATGACTAATGAACGCAGGAGATCAATCTATCAAACATGGTCTATCAAACATTTGTATCCATTTCACTTTTTATTTATTATTTACTTGTTCCAGTTTTTCCGTTACTTATGGTATAATATGTTCCGTTTCTATTTATTCTATTTTATAGTCACGCGTTTGAATAGTGGGAATTCCCCACCAAGTGTGGATTAGCATGCTTAACCATTCTTATTGTTAATATCAACACTTGATATATGAACATGGAATATCATATTGTTTTTGGCTGTTTCATTTCAAGACTTGGGGTATAAACAGGAAAATATCCATAACCTTTCAACACGACTATCTTGTGAAATTTAAACGAAGAGCTTTCGCGACGAATTGGAACCAAATAAGCGAAAAGAGCGATTGATCACTCGCGCCAATACCTCGCCGTGATAATTAATGTCGCGCTTATCCAAATAGCAATATGACGACAAAAGAGAGATTTGCGTTAATGAACCAAAACGACGGATTCCTCGCGGACCGTTGAAAATTTAAAACTGCTATCATATATAACCAAATATGAGCCTGTGTGTTTATTCTGTGCGAGATCCATTTTCTATTACAAAATCTTGATGTTCTGTTAACGGTTTTATCGTTATATATCAGTCCGGACTTGGCCTTGCTCATGATGTTTTTCACAATTCCTCTCAATATTTCGGCCATATATGATTAACTGTCTTACCAAATGCGGCAACTTATTTTGATTTATCGTCGACTTGAATACCACCGGCACTCGACCAAACTTTTGTCAATCTTGGCCGATAGGATCGCCGACTTGAGTTAGCAAATAAATGTTGTGAGTGTAAAATAAATGTCACAAAATGCATTGTTTTGCGATATAACTTTGTATTTTCGGAGAAGGCATGTCATATAAGTTCGGTATTTAAATTATACGCAAATAAATAATATTTGATCTAAATTTATCGCAAATAATGTTATAAACATTCAGTCGCGAAATGATTGAATGTAAAATGAAGCATGGTAATAGGAATATCGTCAATAAGTCGACATCAATAATTATTATTATAAAAATGCTAACAAGGCAGTAATGTCGGATAATGCAGAAAACGCTGCAAAAACAAGTCTTCGTCGCGAGGAAATCGCAAGTATAATCAAATGAGAAAATACGCTCGTCGTTGGTTAATAAATTAGAAACCCGTAATTTTTATTCAGTACTCAGGTGGTTTTAAAAAACTATCGTTTCCATAAATATCCGTATACCAGTGTCGGCAATGATAAAATAAAATTGATCGCATAAAAATGGGACGGTTAATTTGCGAAGGTGATAAAGAAAAACCAAAGCTAACACAAAAGATAAAAATCAGAATAAAATTAATTTGAATTCACTCCTTGATAGTTGTCTTTAACATCTGCCGCCGGCGTGTAGTACTGCCAAGAATAGGAAAACCCAACTTCAATGTCCCATTCGGAAAAAAGTGGATTCAATTGGTTGTTACGATAGGTTTAAATGCGTGGAAAAATATCGCAATTACGGGGTCATTACGTAATTGATTTTGCCGTAATTACGGAATTGATTTTTGTCAATTACGTGCAAGCCTATTTCTAACTACATAGGAATATTAATTAGTGAACAACTAGTCAGACGACAAGGCGTTCTTTGCAACCAATTTATCTTCCCCTTCCTTCATATTTTCGACCAACTGCCCTATCTCCCTCTGTCTTTGACCCACTGCCCTATCTCCCTCTGCCTTTCTGTCTTTGACCAACTGCTCTATCCCACCCAGCTTTTTTTTACCATCGACCTACTGCCCTATCTCTCTCTGTCTTCGACCCACTGCCGTATCTCTTTCTGTTATTGACCCACTGCCCTATCTCCCTCTGCCTTTCTGTCTTCGACCAACTGCTCTATCCCACCCAATTTTTTTTTTATTTTTTATCATCGACCCACTGCCGTATCTCTTCTGCCTTTGACCCACTGCCCTATCTCCCTCTGCCTTTGACCCACTACCCTATCTCCTTTGGTCTTCCTATCTTCGACCCTCTGGATTCCTATGCTCGACCCACTGCCCTATCTCCTTCTGCCTTTCTGTCTTCGACCAATTGCCCGATTCCACCCAGCTTTTTAATCATCGACTTACTGCCCGATCTCCCTCTGTCTTCGACCCACTGCCCCATCCCCCTCTGCCTTTCTGTCTTTGACTCACTTCCCTATTCTCCCAACTTCCCTCTCCTCGACCCACTGCCCTATCCCCATCAGCTTTGCTATCATTGACCCACTGGCCTATTGTGGTGTATTTATTACGTCATAAATCGCATGACTGCTCATGCGATTTACTTAACACGTTATGTCCTTGGCCGGAGTTCCCTGCCAGTCGATGGTTTGAGTTGGTCATTAAAGGATGTTGCTACAACGTCTATCCTCGTGTATTTCTGACAAATGAAGGGGACTTAAGAACACAATAAACTGGCGATGAGGATGGGATACACACAGGTTGATGAATCGTAAATTTAGAGCGATTGCAAAGACGTTGGTGAGACCCTGTCATTGTTTATATGTGCAAAGACGTTGGTGAGACACTGTTATTGTTTATATGCGGGACCGCGCAACAAATTCTCTGTAAATCAAAGAAATGGCTAAGAATATGATTCAATATGATGGGAGTGATTGGCCACTTTATTGTGAGCAATTAGAACAGTATTTTATGATATTGCCGATGAGAAAAAGGTACCAACGTTAATTGCAAACTTGCCTACTAAAACCTACCAAATACTACACAATCTTTTGGCACCCGACTTGCCTAGTTCCAAAACATATGATGTTATAAAGAAAACCTTGCAAGATCATTTAAAACCAAAACGTTCCGTTTTTGTGGAAAGGTTCGCATTTCACAGAAGAGATCAGAAGTTTTCTGAAGTGGTTCGTGAGGTGACCGTACATTTGAACCCATGTACATTTGAACCCATGCGTATATCCACGGGTTCAATCTATATGCGGGTGCTAAAACCCATGGGTTAGGGTTAGTATGGGTTTAACTATCCGTGAAACAAAAAAAATTCCATAGGTGCAATAGCATACAGGTGCAATTGTCATGGATTCAAATGTACGTGGGTTCAAATGTAATGGAACCGGTTCGTGAATATGCAGCAGAGCTAAGAAAATTGTCTTGAGGGGTGTAAATTCGGTCCATTGGGGGATGATTTCATACGCGATCGATTAATCTTTGGTATACTTGATGACGCTACTAGAAAAAGGTTAATGGCAAAAGATGGGGAAAAATTAGATCTTCAAAGGGCATTTCAAAATGCAACGTCAATGGAATTGGCCAACAGGGATGTGGCCGAAATATCAAGTGTCAGTGGTATGCCAATGATGAAGGAGCATTATTTTTCTAGAAAGCAACGGTTTAATACCTTAAAATGTAAGCACTGCGGTAAAACTGCACACGATTTCAAAAATTGTCGTTATAAAAACTTCCAGTGTTTTAACTGCGGCCGCCGAGGTCATATTCAACAGGTTTGCTTACGACGTAAGCCAGTGATGTCCAGAGAAAGGACGGGGAATGACAGACGCGATAATGATAAAGCACGAAGTGCAAATGTTATGGAGAACGACAGCAGTGATAGTCCAAACTTGGAGAATTCGTCGGATTCGTCGTCTATAGAGGTTGGTAATTTACGTATAAATAGCGTACTTAGAAACAAAAATGGTGCAATTTGGCTTTTTCCGATTATCAGTGGGAAAATACTAAGAATGGAACTAGATACCGGATCGGCTGTGTCTATCATTTCTAAAAATGTTTACGATTCACATTTGTCTCATATTCGTTTGAATAATACAAAAATTTGCTTGAAGACTTATTCCGGGGAAAAGATATATCCATTGGGTGTCCTTTAAAGTCGATATAGAAATTATGGCCAAAGTTGTAATCCAGATTGTACGTGGCAAGCACAAACGGTCCTAGTTTGTTTGGGCGTGATTGGTTACATCAAATTCAATTGGACTGGAGAACGATTTTCAATACGTGAGGCAACAGAACCAGTCTGTTCCCCCGAAACCAAACTCGATTGAAACATTTGTTAAAAAAGTACAGTGATGTATTTTCTGGTGACGTAGGCTGTATAAAAGGGACAAAAGCTAAACTGGTTTTAAAAAAGGGCGCCATACCTAAATTCTTCCCTCCCAGGCCTGTACCTTTTGCACTTCGGCCTAAAATTGAAGCGGAATTGAAAAGACTTGAACGTGATGATATAATTACCAAAGTCACTTTTAGTGAGTGGGCTACTCCAATAGTTCCAGTTCTTAAGAAAGACGGTAAAATACGACTTTGCGCTGATTTCAAAGTGACTGTAAATCCTGTTCTTTGTGTAGATCAATATCCATTACATACAATAGATGACCTTTTTACATCTCTTGCAGGAGGACAAAAGTTTAGTAAAATAGATTTGAAACAAGCATATTTACAAATGGAGGTTGAAGAGGAGTCGAAGGAATTGTTGACAGTTAATACTCATAAGGGATTGTATAGGTTTAATAGGCTTCCATTTGGCATAGCATCCGCCCCGGCTATCTGGCAAAGAACAATTGAACAAATATTAAACGGGGTTCCAAGAAGCAAATGTATTCTTGATGACATGTTAACAACGGGTATAATAACATTGAACATTTGGACAATATTGAAAAACAATCTTATGCGTTTGCAACAATATAATCTCAAAGTAAATAAAAGTAAAACTGAATTTTTTAAAAACAGCGTTGAATTCTGTGGATACAAAGTTGATTGTAACGGGCTTCACAAAACGGATGCTAAAATTAAAGCGATTCGTGACGCACCGAGGCCGGAAAATGTCAGTCAAGTGAGATCGTTTATTGGCATGGTTAATTACTATCAAAGATTTATTCCGAATTTGTCATCTGTACTGTATCCTTTAAATTGTCTGCTCAGGGCTAATTGCAGATGGAAGTGGACTAAATACTGCGAAAAAGCGTTTCTCGAAGCCAAAAAGCTTATGACCTCGAGCACTGTATTAACTCATTATGATCCTTCATTAACTTTAAAACTGGCAAGTGATGCTTCACAGTATGGTCTCGGGGCGGTAATGTCTCATGTAATGAAAGATGGTTCCGAACGTCCCATAGCTTTTGCTTCAAAATCGCTTACCGAGACACAAAGGAAATATTCACAAATAGAGAAAGAGGCCCTTGCAATTATTTGGGGAGTCAAAAAGTTCTATTGTTACGTATGTGGAAGGAAATTTACTCTAGTTACCGATCACCGTCCTCTAACGTCTATTTTCCATCCAAACAAAGGTATCCCTGCTACAACAGCTGCAAGGTTACAAAGATATGCTTTGTTTCTAGCAGGTTTGGACTATGAAATTGAATTCAAACCAACGGCAAAACACTGTAACGCAGATGGGTTATCTAGAATGCCGCTTCAAGCACAAGAGAACGAAACTGAAGACGATATTACCGATGCTACAGTAAACAGCTTTGCCATTTGTGACTCTCTGCCGATAACGTGCAAACAGGTTAGAAATCAAACTTGTTGTGACGCTGATTTAATGGAAGTATATGACTCTGTAATGAAAGGGTGGTCGTTGTTCCAGTCACAAAAACCCAGTATCAAGCCCTACTATTTTCATAAACGTGAAATAACGGCACATGATGGTTGTTTGATGTGGGGTTCAAGAGTAATCATACCAAATTCTCTGAGATCACGTTTGTTAAAAGAATTGCATGATGGTCATGTTGGAATTGTGAAAATGAAATCTTTGGCTCGAAGTTATTTCTGGTGGCCAGGATTAGACAAAGACATAGAAAATATGATTAAAAATTGCAATGACTGCCAAATGCAGCAAAATGAACCTTCGAAAGCTCCTCTACACCACTGGGAGTGGCCCCAAGCACCATGGATCCGAGTCCATGTAGATTTTGCCGGGTCATTCAAGGGGGCGATGTTTTTAATAGTAGTAGATGCATATTCAAAATGACCGCAAGTTATTAAAATGTCGTCAACTAACGCCAATAGTACTATCCGTGTGCATAAGAAGTCTTTTTGCTAGATATGGTTTACGGAATATATTGTGAGTGACAATGGGCCTCAATTTTCTCACATAAATTTGCGAACTTTTGAAAGCAAATGGCATCAAGCATAAGAAATCTGCACCTTATCATCCAGCATCTAACGGCGCTGCGAACGATTTGTACAAAGCGTTCGAGCGCGCTATGCGTCTCAGTAATGATGCCAACAAATTCGACTTACATTTGGATGATTTTTACTGGGGTATCGAAATACTCCTCATTGCACAACGGGTGAGGCACCGTCTGTATTATTCTGTAAACGACGTCTTCGTAGTATTTTGGACTTGATCAAACTCTAACATTCGTAATCGTGTTGAGGAAACAATATATCAGTGCGGACGAAGAGTAACAAACTCTGCGATCATTTACGTTGGTGAAACAGTCCTCGTTAGAGATTACGTGGGAATTCGAAATGGAAACGTGGTGAAATAAAAATAATAGGTCCACTGACTTATATGGTCAGTGTTTGCTCCTAATGTTAGTTGGAAGAGGCATATAGACCAGATTATTAAATCTGACTTGAAGATCGAGCAAGAACATAGATATGAAGAGCAACTGCTTGAATCTGAAGATGATCATTTTGAACATGACGAGCCTGCAAGTAAGGATCTAGATGCAACAGACAGTGCAGTATCCAAAAGTCCAGTGCCGTCTCCAAACATAGAGTTATCACCACCGAATCCTCCCATCGATCAGACACCGGAAACAGACGAATCGCAGAATCCGACACCAACAAAGTCGACAACAGACATGGAACGACGTTATCCACTTCGGCAGAGAAGGAGACCAGATAGATTTTAATTTTAAATTGTTTTAATGTAAAACTCTGGTTACTACGTCATTTTATATCATTGTCAGCTTTAAATCATGTTACTAACAATTCTTAGTTTTAGGAGGGAGGTGATGTGGTGTATTTATTACGTCATAAATCGCATGACTGCTCATGCGATTTACTTAACACGTTATGTCCTTGGCTGGGGTTCCCGGCCCAGTCGATGGTTTGAGTTGGTCAATAGAGGGTGTTGCTACAACGTCTATACTCGTGTATTTCTGACAAATAAAGGGGACTTAAGAACACAATACCTATCTCCCTCAGACTTTCTATTCTCGCCCCACTGACCTATCTGCCTTTCTATCGTCGACAACTACAAGTCTTCCATTTTATGAAGAACAAATTACTTTGTTTGTCTTAGGTTAGTAGACAATCATTATACGTTGACTTTGAATACGGATCTATGACACGTTCTCACTCTTGCAAATGTAATTTACGTGAGAACGATGCAGGGATATATTACACAATTTGTCACACCCTGGTAGAGCTGTCGCTTCGAAATCTTTAACTTATGACCGGTATCGATCCACAAATTTTTTTCGTCGGTCCGCAAGTACATTTTATTTAATTTTACCGGTCAGTCAGGGTAGAAAGGTTGGGAACCACTGTTCCAGTCATACAAAAGATTCGAGCCAACTCAAGCTTGCATGGGCGCCCTAATCTTTTACTCATCAATAGTAAGTGATATTCTGCCATAAGATTCCTCTCGTGGCGATGTATTAAAAACTTTTCCGCAAATAGTAAACAAATATTGATCACATTTCCATTTATCTAATCATGATGAAAAGACATGTTTTCAGCTGTATTATCATGTGATAAGTTATCTCAATCAAATGTCTAAATTATTTCTTGCTCAACCTGATTCCCTTTGGAAACAGACGTGAAAACAACACAAAATACATCACATGGAAGCCAAATTTATTTCGAGTTAATGAAGCAAGTTAGTAATATTTTTATTTCCAAATTTCTAAAATTGATACGTAAATTGAATAGTTAATTCTCTGAATTTCACATCTATACCTTCATAATTTAAAAAAGTTGAACGACAAAGACAGAATAATCAATCAGACAAATGACTGTTCAAGATTTTAATTTTCGACAGCAATTTAATTTAGTCAAAATGTATGGATTTCAAATTAGGAATCAATGATTTAAAATATATGATAGAACCAGAGGAACAGACTACAACTAGGCAGACGTTTATTAGATCTGGATCTCACAAATAACTCCATTCATTTCCCGTGTAGGAGGAGAATTGCCCATCCCTCGCAATCTATGATTAAAAATAATATTTAGATAAACATTTGTGCAATATATATATTCAATTCCAGTAAGTGGAGAACCTGTGTACCATTTTATAAATAAATCTGCGGGTGTGACGATAGCACGGGTCTGAGAACAAACAATAAAAATGGTTAGATGAAGATTATCATTGAAATAAGCCTGATCAACTGCAATTCTCACTCGTCTATTTCCATGTTCGTGTGGTTAGGTATTCACAATTATTATAAAAAAATATTCGTTATCACTTTGTAGACGTGTTGGCCCTTCAAATACATTCAGTCTTTCATGGTTTTCAAGTAAAACTCCATGTTCGAGCTGCATGGGATTGATTTGTCCAAAACTGCACAATTATTATGACTTGAATATTCGTTATCACTCGTACAGACGTATGACATTTTATAAGCACGGAACTTCAAACAGTGATCCCTGTGCCCAAAGAATATGGTGTGCTAATGAGCGCAATCTACAGTAATGAACAAGAAGAAAACCAGATATTTAGCAAAATCCCAATCCACTTGACTCCCATCATCACAATCATCAGGGCTGATGGTGTCTTTTAATCAGCAAGTCCAACTATACTGATGTGTAAAAAGTCCCGGATGGGTAACAATGTCATCGTTGTCTTCTAAAATCGCTCGTTTAATATTTTCAAATCTCTTTTGAATTTGCGGCCATTCCTCACTTCACCCGTCTAATAACAGTTCCTTATGTTTATGAGTATAAATAGAACAGGCATAGGATACTAACCATTGGATCAAAGCGGATTCCTGTCCATATAAATATCCCCGTCTCTCCCTTTCTCAAGAATTTCATAATCGCATTGTAGGATTCTTTATCCCGAATCAAACCAACTTCTGCGTTACGTTTCTCACAATTATCAACTACTTTGTCGTAGATGACATCTTCTCTTACTGACATCACAAAAAAATAGCAAATATTTTCAATCTTCAATTTGCAGTTTTGTTCTCCCGGCCCCTCAAATACATTCAGTCTTTCATGGTTTTCAAGTAAAACTCCATGTTCGTGCTGCATGGGATTGATTTGTCCAAAACTGCAGAAGAATAGCTTGAGTTCTGTAAAAATTCGTCTCTTTTTATTACCAAAGTATGAAATTTCAGATCCCAAATTTGGGAAAATCCGATAGTTTGAAAATGTACTACTCTAGCTCCGGCTCCGGTAAAATCAAAATCGACTCCAACCTCGGGAATGAGATCTTCACTGCGCCACTAACCATAAAATTTTAACTGGAGAAGGGGTCCGTTTCAATGTTGTTTTGGTTGTTGTCGTCGGTCTTGCTTGTTCGAAGCTGTTGAGGCTTCTTCGCTGCAGAGAGTTTTTCTTCAATCCGCTCCATTGTTGAAGAAGAAGTATATACATAAGTTTCCAGCATTACTGAAAACAAAATGTTGTCTGTGGCAGAATGGCTAATTTGGTTTAAATTAATTTGTAAACAATTTGGCGAAAATAGCACAAGTTTTTAGAGTCTATCTATACTAACATTTAACATTTATGTACATCAATGCGCCATTATGTTGTAAAACTATGAATTTATAATTCTCGGATAATTTTATTTTATTAGCTAAGGTACATTTGCTGAGCTATATCTTCCATCCTTCTAATCTAAGTTGGTTTCATTTTTCATACAAATTCGAAATTGTGTTGCTTGGTTCTGTGCTAATTGTTGGTCTCCAATGCAAATTTTCAAGTTTGAATGTCAAAATCACAGAAGGATGTTTACACTAGATCAAATGTTTACACTAGATCAAATGTTTACACTAGATCAAATGTTTACACTAGATCAAATGTTTACACTAGATCAAAATTACACTAGATCAAATGTCATATTATAAAACATCACACAAACCTTTCTTGAAATCCCTGATTTCGGCTGATTGTTTCTTAAGGCTCTGCTTCAGGGCAACGATTTCGGCAGATTGCTCCGCATTTAAATTCTGTATCTCACGAATTTCCGTGTGATGTATATATAGTTAAAAATAATATTCTTGGCAATAATGCCTAATCATCAAAGCGAAATTTCAAGTACATTTTTTGAATTCAAATTCCATTTTTTGACTTCAACCTGATCTAACGTTTTTATGCCAACTTTGCTCAAGTTAGGAACATACTACATTGAAGAAAGTCGGATAACGACTAATTGTATTAATACTAACTTGAAATTTCTTTATCCAACCCATGGATGCTTTTCATTTTTTCATCAATGTTTTTTTTCAGTTCTTTGAATTCTGATTTGATACTTCCAATATCTGAATGGAATTGTAATAGCTTTTTACCTAGAAGATTAAATACAAATTGTTTTGAACTATTTAAACACACGAATTAAATAAACTGATACGGTAATTCTACGATGGTTGAATTTACCAATCCAATTTGGTAAATTATGAATTTTCACTTCAAAACGGTTTAAATGTTCTGATAAACATACCTAAAACATCTGAAAAGTAACCAAAGAAATACTTTATTTCATAAGAAATTGTGATAAACTTGATTCCCTATCTGTATTCGGCCCTATAACGTTAGGTCATTCTTAGCATTGCAAATGCAACAGCCACCTGAAATAAAATTGACTGATGCTTTTGTAACGTAATTCATCGATTCAATGTCAAAACAGTATAATGTGAGACTCGGTCATATTTAGCTTTGTTTTACTCGTTTATGGAGCCCAATAATTTAAAATCATCAAATCAAACCAAAGTAGGCCTACGTAAAGTATTCCTGGATACTAAAGGAAACAGATTGACGGCATTCTGAGGTTGAGCCGTATTCTTAGATTTGCACGTAATCGGAAATTCCTTGTCCTGCAGATAATCATCAATGTTAAATCCTGGTCTGCTCCATCCTACAGCAACAGGATCACATTGTGCGATCTGGCAACCCGGCTTGGGAGAGCAGTGGAACACTGTTTCATCTTGACACCAGGATGAAGAGATGACGTAGATTAAGAATAAAACGATTGAGATTTTCATCCCGAGATTTTAGTGTAGTTAAGTATCTGAGTGAAGAAAAGTGTAATTGTGTTTATATAAACTTATAAAGTATGTTTGTGAAGGCAAAAAGCTTGACTCTATAAACATAACTTTTAAAAGTAGTTCCGTTTGCAGTGAATTAAAATAGTCACAAACAAACACAAGATGTATATTCTGAGAATTTTGGTTCAATTTTAATCTGAGTTTGACTATTCTCCTCGCCCAGTTATCTTTATAAATTTATATAAACGCATAGTCCAGTCTTTCACACTTTAAAGGCGATCAAATGAATTCAACAGCAACAATGCTTTCAAAAATGTCTTGGCGTATTCAATCATAACTGGGAATTACGTGACCCTTTTGTTAAAACTTTGAAATTCTAATTAATAGCGTCACAGACAACGTCGGAACGCAACAACGTCGTTATTTAGCAATAACATTGTTTACCGTTATCAGTGCGATTTCCGAATTTACTTGCGGAGTGATTTTTTATTTTATTTTTTTATAATACGGATCAGAACGACAAAGTCTGGAATCCAGCCCGAATGCCTTGATATCCAGACTATGTCGACGGAAGTTTTATGGATACCTTCTCTTTGCCATAGAGATCACCATTTTATATACCACATAAAGAGGTAGTCTTCCATTCATCACATCCGCTATTAGTGGGATGGTATTATCTTAGTTGAATTTTATGCCTT